GGTCTGGTGTGTCACAACAGGGACCAGCAACAGGAATTTGGGATGTGCTTCAACTACATGATCCGTGTGCTGTGCTGCAGTGACAGCCACTGCCCTACGACCCCTTCCAGCACCACAAAGTCAACTCTGCCCTGGTCTACTCACACTTCCCTGGTCCCTTTCCCAATCACATCAAGCACTGAGTCCACTTTTCAGACCAAGCATCCCTTCAGCTCCCCGGTACCAAGTACTCAAGCATCCACATGGACCACATATCCTGCCTCAGGATGTGTACCTCAGTGCACGTGGACAGAATGGTTTGATGCAGACTTCCCTAACCCTGGCCCCAGAGGCGGGGACTTTGAGGTCTATGCAGTGTTACGTGAAGTTGGCTTTGTCTTCTGTGAGCATCCTAAGGACATCCAGTGCCGCTCTGAAAATGAGCCAGAAAGGCCCCTGGAAACTCTAGAGCAGGTGGTCCAGTGTGATGTGCGATTTGGGCTGATATGCAAGAATATCAACCAAGCGGGACCTTTGCAATACTGTGACAACTACCATGTGCGCTTCCTCTGCTGTGACAATGTCAGCCACTGTACCACCTCACCTATGGCCACCCTCTCCACCGCTCCTTCTTCCTCTCCCCTGCTGTCCACTCACGCTTCCCCAGCCTCGAATACTATGACTTCTTCACCTGTGGTCACTAGCTCTACTCACACCTCTCCAGTTTTGACCACCGGGACTTCATCTGTAGCCACGGGCCCCACTGCGGCCCCCTCCACTGCTTCCGAGACCACTCACCCCCCTGAAGTTTCCCCCAGCAGCCAGGTGACCTTCAGCCTGTCTACTGCTTCTCCCTTGGGCCCTAGCACCCTCAGGCCTACTGTCCTTTCCAGCCGACCATTTTCCCCGTCACCCTGTTTCTGCCAGGCATTTGGACAGCTGTTCTTACCCGGTGAGTAGAAAAGTCCATGTTCTCCCTACCCCATGACCCTTGTCCACCTGGGTTTGTCAGCCTTGGGAGCTATGGGCCATTTCATGTATGCCAAGTTCAGCCCATGCCCTCTCTGGGCATCCCTTCTCTCTCAGGCAGGCTGCCCTCCCACCCTATGCCTTCCCCTGACACCATCCTGCCTCTTCAGCTGGGGTATGGCAGCTCATGGGTTTGTCTGTTTTCCTTCTACAGGAGAGGTCATTTACAATAAGACTGACGGAGCTGGCTGCCAACTGTATGCCACCTGCAACCAGCACTGTGATGTTGACCGCTTCCAGGGTGCCTGCCCCTCCTCTCCACCTCCAGGGCCCTCTACCTCTGCATCTTCGCCTCCCCCACTCCCTGGCTGTGACAATGCCACTCCTCCCCGGCAGGTGAGCCTCTCATCTCCCTCCCCTCCCTGTGATGTGGTATGGATTTGGGTTCTGCATCTGGATTGAGTCATGGCTAGTGCTCAGCACTACCTCAACCCTGTAGCCTATCTCAGTGACCTGTCTTCCAGTGGCTCCTATTGAGAGAGGCACAGGGGATCTCGGGTCTTGATCCGCAGAAGCTGGCTGCCTTCTGGGATTCATAGCTGTAGGGACCTGGGGCTACATAAAGGGCAGAGCTTGGATCTCCACATGACCTCAAGGTGAACACTCTGCACATCTTCTGCCTCAGGTGAATGAGTCCTGGACCCTGGAGAACTGCACAGTGGCCAGGTGCCAGGGAAATAACCAAATCATCCTCCTAGAGCCGGAGCCCGTGGACAATGTCACCTGTGCCAACAAGCACTCGCCCATCCAAGTGTGGGACCAGGAGCCTTGCCATTTCCACTATGAGTGTGAATGTGAGCAGAGGGCAGGCGTGGAAGAGCTCAGCAAGATGGGACGGGATTGAGGCATTTTATCTCACGTCTGTCAATCTCAGACAGCACATGAAAATGCTGTGCTAGCCTGCAGGCATTGTGTGCACAGGGAGGCTGGGAACATGGATGTGGCACAGGCCGGGGCTGAGTGACCAGGGAGAGGTAGAGTGCTAAAAGCCACAGTGGGAGTCCTTTCTTGTAGTCCTGATGACAGCTTCCATTACTGTGTGTTAAATGACTCAAACTTGGGACTTAGAACAGCAAACTCAGGGTCTCCCATTCCCAAGCTGGAGTCAGATCAAGGCAGGCAATGAATCCCTATGGAGGATCCTTCTCGACTTCCCAGTTAAAGGCTACAGGAGTCCTTGGCTTGTGGCTTCATCACTCGATTCTGCCTCCATCTTATGGCCTTCTGTTCCATGTCCATCTCTCCTGACATTTATAGGTACACTGTCATTAGGCTCAAGGGACACCCAGGTAATTTGAGATGGTCCCATTTTAAGACCAATGTCACATTCATAGTTCCCAAGGTAGATATGGTTTGGGAGACACCTAATTTATAGACAAAGCAACTGTGTTCCCCTGAAGGAACAGTTCCAGAGGTGGTGCTGGGTCACAGAGCTGGGAAGTGGACCTCCAACTGTAGTCTCCCGCAGGCTTCTGCAGTGGATGGGGGCGCTCACACTACCTGACATTCGACGGCACCTCCTATACTTTCCTGGACAACTGTACCTCGGTGCTCATGAGAGAGATTCTCCCTCGCCATGGCAACCTCAGCATCCTTGCTCACAGCTACTACTGTGGGGCTACCACCAATGTCACCTTCTGTCCCCGAGCCCTCAGTGTGTACTACAACTCCATGGAGATTGTCCTCACCACCACCACCACCGCCAGTGGGAAGGAGGAGGGCCTGGTGAGTCTCGTGATAGGTAGGGCCCCAAGGCCACCCTGCAAACATGAGGTCAAGGTATGGGGTGACAGAGGCAAGGATGAAAAGTCCTCGGGACCAAGAGCACTCTCCCCTCTGCAGAAATGACCTATAGGAGCTGTCCTAGGTGAAGAACGAATGCCTAGCTCTAGATTGAGTAATAAACAGCAATGTCCCTGGTGTTTGGCAAAGCAGCATCTACTGCCGCCTATCTGGTCCCTTGATTACTGTTTCCCTCTGGACACCCTAGATCATATGGGACCAAATGTGGATAAGCTCAGGTTTCAGTAAGAATGGTGTGACAGTGTCCTTGAGCGGCATCACCACGATGAGTGTCAACATTTCCACCATTGGCACCAGCATCACCTTTGATGGGCACATCTTCCAGATATGGTTACCCTACAGACACTTCAGCAACAATACCGAGGGCCAGTGTGGTGAGTAGGCATGGCCTGGCTCACTCCGCACCCATAAATGAGGGGAAGGAATGGGTCTATGGGAAACAGCAAGAAGCTGATTGTAATCCCTACCCTATTCACCAGGTACCTGCACAAACAGCCAGGCAGATGACTGCCGCCGGCCAGATGGCACCACAGCTTCCAACTGCCAGGACATGGCCAAAGACTGGCTGGTGCCGGGGAACAGCAGCAATGGCTGCTTAGCTCAGCCTAGCCCTTCCCCAAGCACCACTCCCCAGCCCTCAGTGTCCAGTCCACCCACCTCTACCCCATGCCCCACTGTACCCCTCTGTGAGCTGATGCTGAGCCTGTGAGTCGGCCTTTGGGGTGGTGGGCCGGGGCATTAGTCCCTTTGGCTAGCCTCCCTGCTGGGCCCTGAGCTCCCAGCCCTGACCACTCACTGTCATAGGGTCTTCGCCGAGTGCCACACGCTCATCCCTCCAGACACCTTCTTCAGTTCCTGTGTCAATGACTACTGCAATACCAATGTTACTGACATGCCCTGTCAAAGCCTGGAGGCCTATGCCACACTCTGCCGGGCCCGGGGTGTGTGCACCAACTGGCGTGATGCCACTGGAGGGCTTTGTGGTAAGTTGGAGCATTCGATTTAGTCAGGGCCCCAGTTTCCTTGGTTCTTCCGAACCTGCCTGGTGACACTCTCTGCACCCACAGACCTTCCCTGTCCACCCACTAAGGAATACAGGCCGTGTGGACCTCTGTACCCAGCATCCTGCAGCTCTAGGTGAGTGCCGTCTAAGTGATAGGGAGTGAGGAAGTAGCAGCTGACCTCCCGTGTCTGAAGGGTCTGAGTTCTGGGTCCCCCCCCCCAAAATCAGCTCTTGGAGGCGCCACTTCATTTCTGATCCTACACTCTGCTGCTCCTCCTCCCACTAGAACCCTGAACATTTCAACTGAGATGCTGGCAGAGGGCTGCTTCTGCCCTGAGAATCAGCTCCTCTTCAACTCACGCATGGACATCTGTGTGCTGGAGTGTCGTAAGCGCCCTTCACCTACCCCAGGACAAGCCCTACCCTCCCCTTCTCCCCCATAGGGTGCTCACCTCCCGGGCCAGGATCCAACACATCTGCAGACTCTCTTTGGCCTGACTAGTATGTGAGAGGATCCTGGTGAGGTCATTAGTCCTGCAGATGTCTAAAGGCCTCCTGTGAGCCTGCCACCCTTCTGTCTCAACTCTGCTGCTTGGAGCTGGTCAGAGAAGTTGCTAGGCTCTCAACATCCACCCTCACCACTGCCTTAGGGACCTGACACCCTCATAATTCTCTAAGGCCTTCTGTTCCACTCTGCGAGAAGATAGAGCTTTTGGTTTGGGGTATAGGTGGCCAGGACTAAGAGCACAGTTCTCTCAGCCCATGACCCCCTTCTGCCTGGCCTTGAACCCCAGCATCTTCAGTAACAAGTTTACTCATTTCTTTCCAGCCTGCGTGGGACCTGATGGGCTACCCAAGTTTGTGAGTGGTGCTGCTCCCCTGACCCCCCAACTGGACCTAAAGAGAAGCAGGAAGTAGGGAGGGTGGCTGGGTCTGCATAGCCCAGGAGGCTCCTGGCTTCCTTCCTGCTCTCACTCTGGACAGCAGAGGGCTAACCCGCTGAGGGCAAACAATGACTTGGAGTTGGGTTCAGGCAGACAGGCCAGGGACTTTAGTGCTTCTGAGTCTTCAGAGATCCTGATTTGGCCTGTTTCAGCCGGGAGAACACTGGATCAGCAACTGCCAGTCTTGCGTGTGTGACCCCAGCTCTGTGTCAGTGCAGTGTGAGCCGGTGCAGTGTGAGAGCCAGGAGCCCCCACAGTGCACAGAAGCCGGCCTCGTGACCATGACCAGGTCCAAACCTGACAACCCATGCTGCCCCGAGACAGTCTGTGGTGAGCACCTCCTGGGGGACGTAGGAGAGTCATACTCTAAGCTTAGCTACCCTGGGCCACTCAGGTGGGGGGTGGTCTCAAGATGCTTCAGCTTTTGACCTAAAAATAAGTTTGGTGACCTCTGGTCTGACCTAACAGAGCAGAGAATTGGTAAGGACCAAGGGGATGAAAGAGTGAGGGGACTTGAAACCCAGAAAAGCTATGAAGCACACAAGGTCCCAAGGGAAAATGACACTAGAGACCAGTATTTCCAGAAAGGGAGAAGATGGGGGCCAGGGTTGGGGCAAAATGGGCAGCATCCTGATGGTCACATCTCTACAGTCTGCAATACAACCACCTGCCCCAAGAGTCAGCCCAAGTGTGAGCCAGGGCACGAGCTGATCCACACCTATGAGGAGGGCCGCTGCTGCCCCAGCTTCATCTGTCGTGAGTGGGAATGGAACTGAAGCCCAGGGGAGGGCGCATGGAGATCGGCTGCACTGGGGTTGGGGATGAGGAGGGGCAAGGGTTTCTCCTCCACTGCCCAGATGCATATGCAACCCCTTTCCTTGCAGGACCTATGATGTGCACATACAATGACACCCTCTATGGGGTAAGGGATCAGCCCAGGCAGGTTGGAAAGCAGGGGGAGGCCAAGGGTGGGTGGGAAGCCCATGTCCCTCAGTTCCTGATCCTTGTCTCAGCATCCTTGCCAGAAAGGCAGATCTGAAGAGGGGGTCTGGGCCCTTAAGACATAAGTCATAAGGCCATTTGTGTGTGTGTGTGTGTGTGTGTGTGTGTGTGTGTAGGAATTGTGGAAAGAGGGGCTACCATATTTGCTATATCTGAGTGGCCAGCTTCTGGGTCTCCCAGCTTACTCTTATCCCCACCCACTAGATACCTGTGTTCAACTAGGGGAACAATGACACCTTTGGGGAAAAAGAACTGGACCCATGGGCCATGCTTGGACTCAGCTAAGAGTCCTGACCTGATATATGCTCATCCCTCCCCCCACCTTCTCTCTGTATCACTCTTCTTACCTGCTCTAGGTTGGGGCAAACTTCTCAGGGAACGATCCCTGCCAAACATGCACCTGCTTCTCTATGGGCCATCAAGAACCCAAAGTAGAGTGTAGAGAGATCCTTTGTACCACCTCCTGCCCCCAGGTGAGCCTGTGGCCCAACAGACATTCTGAGGGGCTACCCATGGCAGCCCATCATTGAGAATGCTCCAATTCACCATAATTTTGAAGTCTTTTTTTTTTTTCCTTATGGGGAAAAGTAGGGAATGATGAGGACTGGAGGACAGGCCCTGCAGGTTGGTGAACTGACTAGAAACAGGTCTAGTATGGTACCAGTAGACCAGCAGTTCTCAACCTGTGGGTCATGACCCCACTGGAGTCAAATGACCCTTTCACAGGGGTCACATATCAGATATCCTGCATATCAGATATTTACATTATAATTCATAACAGTAGCAAAATTTCAGTTATGAAGTAGCAACAAAATTTTATGATTGGGAGTCACCACAACATGAGGAACTGCATTAAAGGGTCACAGCATTAGGAATTCTGGGAATGCTGAGAACTCCTACAGTAGACAGAGAGGCTAAGAAACAGGGTGAGCTAAGTTGCAAGGCCTGGGAAGAGGCTACAACGCAGAGCAAAGACATGCCCTCTCAGGAGTTACTGCTAAGGAGGCCCGGGGCCCCTAGTCAGAAGGGTGGCAGAGATGAATGAGAGACCTGACTACCTCTCCTGTCCCCACAGGGCTTCAAGTACATGCTGAAGCCAAAGCAGTGCTGTGGGGAGTGTGTACAGAATGCCTGCTTCACGCCAGATGGCCAGGCAATGCAGGTAATAGGAGAGGGAGTAAGAGATCTTCCCCTGAGCAGGTCTCAACCACAAGTGGGTCCCTGTCTGGACCTCTATTGTGTGCCTTGCTTTTCAGCCCAATGAAACCTGGGTGAATAGTCATGAGGACAACTGCACTGTGTACCACTGTACGGATGAGAATGGAATCCATCTACTGACTCCAATGCCCCCAGACTGCCCTGATGTGTCCAACTGTACGGTATGTGCCTGGGAGGTCCTGCCTTTGGGTGGTCCACCCTTGTCATGCCCCTGGAAAGTTCTGACCCAAGAAGTCTGTGTCTCTGTGGCTTGTACCCCATGCCCTGGCTCTGTCCCAGTCCTATTCTGTTCTATTCTTGGCCCTGCAGGGAACCCTAAGGAAAACAGGTTGCTGTTATTCCTGTGAACAAAACGGTAAGTTGAAGATATCTCTCATCTAGTCCTCCTGCTCCATTCAGTTCCCAGCAAAAGCAATCCAAGTTTCTCCCACTGGGTAGTAGATTGCACCAAAGTCCCAGGATAATAGAAGGGTCTGGTCACCCATGAAATGTGTGTCCGTTACTTCTCTCATCTCTGGGACAAAATCCCCGACAAAATCCAATGAAGGAAGGATTTATTTGGCTCATGGTTTCAGTGTGCAGGCCCACCACGGCAGGCAGACATGGCAGCAACAGAAGCAGATGGCCATATATGTCTGCAGCCAAGAAGCAGAGAGGGATGAAGGCTGGTGCTCAGCTCACTTTCTCCTTTTCACTCAGTCTGAGTACCCGGCCCATGGGTGGTCCTGACCACTAGATTCAGGGTGGGTCTTCCTCATAAGTTAATTTAATTTACAAAATCACCCAGAGCTCCATCTCCTCAGTGATTCTAGATCCTGTCAAGTTGACAGTCAACCTTAACCATCACGGGGGAGTCAGTCTTACCAGGTCCAGGCTCTCTGAGTTAGAGTCTAGGGCCTCTGCATTGGCCTGTCTTCTTTGCAGACTCAAGTACATGTCAAGTGCACATAAACACAGCCATCCTGCGGTATAAGGGCTGTGAAACAGATGTGGCAGTCAACATCCCCTTCTGCAAGGGCTCCTGCTCTGCAATGTCCAAGTGAGTGGATATCTTGCCTCCACAAGAGTATAGCAGAACCAGTGACTACCTTGTCACCTTGGATCTTTTTTTTAAAGATTTATTTATTAATTATGTACACAGTGTTCTACCTGCATGTATCCCTGCAGGCCAGAAGAGGGCACCAGATCTCAGGATAGATGGTTGTGAGCCACCATGTGGTTGCTGGGAATTGAACTCAGGACCTTTGGAAGAGCAGACAGTGCTCTTAACCTCTGAGCCATCTCTCTAGCTCGTCACCTTGGGTCTTACAGAGACTGTCTCCTTTTGGGGGTCAGGAGGCCATAGACACCTATCTGCATAAAACATATGGCCCATCTTCCAGCCGAGCCAGAGGCAAACCTGGCTTGGCTGCACAGAATATAATTTTGGCTGGGGACTTGTGTCCAGGAATCTGAATGTGTCTAGGGGGACAGGCAGCTTCAGATCTGTGGTCCCCAGATGGCCCCAGGCTGTGGTCAGCTGTGAACAGGAGTGGCCAGGAAAGTTGAGCAATTGTGGGTCCTAGGCTAGCTTCAGGGCTTAAGGTGGCTGCCCAGAGGAAGAGTCTCAACAGAATTAGTAGGATGGAAAGGGAGGACAATCGCAGGAGGCTATGCAAGATGGAGCAGGCTTTAAAGGGAGTCCAGGAGGGGCAAGGCTGTGTGTTCAAGAAAGTAGCCATGGTGGACAGTCAGACAGCCTTCAAGAGCCTACAGAGGACCATGGATATATGGTGTACTGCTAAGAGGATCACAGAGTTGAAATGTTGATCCTCCCATGCCCACAGGTACTCCATGGAGGCTCAGGCCATGGAGCATCAGTGCACCTGCTGCCAGGAGAGCAAGGTTCATGATGTAGCAGTGACCATGCAGTGTCCCAACGGTACAGTCATCCAGCACACCTATAGCCACATTGATGAGTGCAGCTGTGCCCTGGCCTGCAGCTTCCTGCCCATGACCTCCATGAACACTCCCTAGAGCCCAGTGCTGGAAGGCAATTGCATCCCCCAACCCCTCATGTCCCGCCACCTGGAGCAGAGCCTGTATGACTGACCATGAAAACCTTAGGCAGGCCTGCTCCATGTGGCCCACAAGAACCCTCTGTGGCTCCCACTGCCCTGCTCCACCCTCTGCCTGCCACTTGGTGAAACCAGTATCATGGAGGGTAATGAAGGGACAACTAACATCCCCTTGAAGAGGGTGCCAGGCAAGGATTTGGTCCTTGAAGGACCCTCTTGGCTGTCTTGGCCTCATCCTCTGTGATGACATATAAATGTCTTGGAGCAAAACAGAGAGCCTATGACTATAAGGCTCCCCACAGCAAGCCTGTATGCCCTTCAACACATAAAGAAGTCCTCTGCCAGTCATCTCAAGAGCACAAAGGCAGATGGGATTGTCCAAGCAAGACAAGCTACCAGGGAGCTGTCAGGCAAGGTGGCTGCCTGCTGGAGGGGCCCTGGGATCTGGGGTTGGAGAGGGGCCTGTGCTCACCCAGCCCGAAGCTGCAATAAACCCTGGCACTTTGTGTCTCCTCCTGGTGTCTGCTTTGCCTACTCTGCATGGATCCCTGTTTATGGTTTGGAGTTGTCAGGGATGAAGCTAGAGCCATCAACAGGAACATGAGGGATGGGAGACTGGCTGAGAGGAATGGGGGAGAGGTACTTGGCCACTGGCTGGACACCGAGAGCATGGGCAGGGGCAAGGCCAGTCAGGGAACCAGATGCCAGCCTAGCTGCCACATAACCCAGGGGCAGTGTCAGGGCATCCTAGACAGAGGAGCCTGTGGCCTGGCTGTAATGGACAGAAAAGAAGGGTGCTTTGCACGGCTCTGACCCCAGGAGGCTATGGATGCAGTGGTGCTGGGACCCCAGGTCTTGTTCTGCCTCCTCAGGTGTACTATATTCAAGATACCTGTCAATTGTTGGTTTGTCATATAAGTGGCTGTCCTTGGCTCCTTTCTTTCCCTCCCTCTGTCCAAAATGGAGAACATTCCATAAACATGGCAGGGAGTCACAGGGGCCAGGGGTGGGGAATGTGGGGTTCTATGGCTTGGGTTCCAGAAGTAGGAGTGGCAGGAAGGCAGCATGTCAAGAGGGATCCTATATGTGATGTGGGACAGAGAATGTCCTAGCTTGACTGTGCAGGAAGGGTACAAGATGGCCTCCAAATGTACAGAATGTGGTCGGTCAATGGTGAGACTATGACCTAGGAAGATGAAGACAGACACAGTGGCTAGCTATGGCCCCCAAAGCCCCTGGAGAAGTAAGCAGAGGGGGCCTGCTATGGGCTGTGGGATACCCTGCTCCCCAGAAGTGAATGCAAACAGACCCAGTGTGGCCGAGCTCCTGTGCCTGGCGTTGGGGTCAAGGACCAGGCTCCTCACAGATCTGCCCAGTGAAGCTGCCTTTCATCTGCACTTGTTGAGGTCTGTCTGGCAGGCAGCCCCCTGGGGAAACACGGTCCAGAGACCAATGAGGCAGCAGGTGTGCTGTGGGACAGCCGAAGGCTACTGGGGCCGACTTCTCTAAGCTTCTCATGATGTGGCTTCTAGGTCAGAAAGTTCCATGTCCCTGTCCTCATGAAGCCACAGCAAAATGTTTCTTCAACCTCTGTCATTCCAAGCACCATCATTGGAGTCAAGGACATCACTTGACAGAGACACTCTCAAATGTTGAGGTCTTCCATGTCTGGGGACACTCCCGACTAAGGCCATACAGATAGTGTGTGCTGTTGCTGCTCCACTGTACCTGTCAGGAAACAGGCACAAGGAGACGAGGAGCCTTGCTTTAGTAGGAACAAGGCCTGCTCCAGCCAGGGTGGTAGACTCAAGAGTCCACTCTGAAAATACAAGGCCTGACCAGACCCAGGGAAAATCACAGTAAGACACAAGGAACAAACCAACAGCTCTAGGTCCACTTTAAATATATTCCAAGAGGGATTTCTGCCTCCTAGATTGGAGAGTGGGCAACTCTTGCTCACAGACACTGATAAAAAGAAACTGCAACCAATAAGTGGATTGAGTTGGAAGCAGACACCCCTCTGAAAGAAGAGGCATTAGCAATACCCCAACAATGGCAGGGCTGCCCAGGGGTCCACATCAGGAGGCCCAATACCCTTCCTTGTAGGGAATGTACACTTAGCTCCTAAGTCACCAGGCCTCTGGGTCCCTGAGTGAGGCAGAGTTCAGTAAACAAAAAGAGATCAAGCACCGGTCTCTCCGATTTGCAGGTAAGGTAGGGTGGTTTTAAAGAAATGACTTAAGATTATTGGTGATAGACCGGAAGTTCTCCCAAAGGAAAGAACTGAAAGGGAGCTGGGTGTGGTGGTACATACCTGTAACGCCAGCACTCTAGAGGTTAAGGCATGAGAAGGCCAACCTGGGCTATACAGTGAGATCCTGAGAGAGAGAGAGAGAGAGAGAGAGAGAGAGAGAGAGAGAGAGAGAGAGAGAGATACACCAGAATGTTCTTGCTGGGGCTACAGTCACCAGGAAGGAAGGGTGCTACTCAGCCTGGGGAAAACTGTATCCCACATGCTTCCTTTCTGTTTCCACATAGCCACCCTGCAGCTTTCAAACCGATCTTGGCTGCAGGGTCCTGTTCCCATAGATAGCACAGTGGAGGTCTGCTGTCCACAAAGATGCTGGCGAGTTGTCTTCAGAATTAAATGAGGGGCTGGAGAGAAGGCTCAGTTGTTAAGAGCACTTGCTGTAACTCCAGAGGACTCAGGTTCCATTCCTAGTGACTTCATGGCAGCTCACAACCATTTGTAACCCATTCCTGGGGACCTGACACTCTCTTTTGGCCTCCATGGGCATGAGGTATGCACACGGTACACAGACATACATACAAGCAAAACACCCATACACATAAAATAATAAAAAATTTAAAAACATAAACGAGGGGCTGGGGCATAGCTCAACAGGTAAAGCCACTTGTCACACAAGCCTGGCTACCTGAGTTCAATCCCTGGAACCTGCATGAAGGTGGCAGGAGAGAACTGACTCTAAAAGTTGTCCTCCGACCTCCACGTGCACATGATGGCACGCACATGCCCACACTTACATATACACCATTCGCTCACACACAATATTAACAAATGAAAGTTAAAACTAACTAAATGGGAGACTGGGGAGATGGCTCAGTTGGTAGAGGCCTTGCCACATAAGCAGGAGGATTTGAGTTCAGTCCCCAGAACCCGCACAGCAGCAGGATTTGGTAGTGTGTGCTTTAGTACCAGGACTGGGGAGGTGGAGACAGGCAGGCTGCTGGGACTCACTGGCCAGCCAGCCCAGTCTGCTTGGTGAGGTCCAGGCCACTGAGAGACCCTGTCTCAAAAAGGCAGTGCCCAGCTTCCTGACAATCCTCCTCTTGGGGGTGCTTGGCATGCTCTTCTTATGGCCTTTGAACTTGTTCACTTGTCCCTGTGGGGCCACTCGGGGCTCCTCCTTCCACAAGTGTCTCCTTCCTGCCTGGCTCTACACGGTGGTGTGAGTGAGAACGGCCCCCATAGGCTCATAGGTTTGAATGCTTGGTCCCCAGCTGGTGAACCATTTGAGAAGGATTAGGAGGTGTGGTCTTGTTGGAGGAAGTGTGTCATGGGGGCTGGGCTTTGAGGTCTCAACAGTCCATGCCAGGCCCTGTGTTTCTTCTCTGCCTGCTGCCTATAGGTCAGGATGGAAAACTCTCAGCTATGGCTCCATTGTAGCAGTTGGCCTATCTGCTTCCTGTCTTGATAATAACAGACCGACTCTGAAACTATAAGCAAGCCTCCAATTAAATGCTCTTTTATTTTATAAGAGCGCCTTGGTCACGGTGTCCCTTCACAGCAATAGAACAGTGACAAAGACACTTCTCTCTCCTTCCCTGCCCCTGATGGCGCAGACCTTACCCAGCCATGCTTGTGAGCTCACAAGAGTAGTGTGTGTCTCCTCGTCATCCACATTCCCCAATACTGTTTGTGGGAGGAAGGAACAGTGTCCACTTGTTCCCATTGCAGGGCCTTGGGCAGGTCCCCCAGGTACACAAGGCAGAGTTGCCGAGAGCCCTTTCCTGGAGTACTTACCTTCCTGCTTAGCATGTTAGGCCTTTGAGACCCGCCCCCCTGAGTGCTTAGGAGAGATCATATTTGTGGTAAGTTCAGGCAAAGGATCAACATGACTCCTTTTATTTTTATTTTTGGTGTGTGCATGTATGTGCAGATGTGTGTGTATGCGTGTGTGTGTGTGTGTGTGTGTGTGTGTGTGTGTGTGTGTGTGTGTGTGTGTGCCTGCATGTATATACGTGTGTGTGTGCTGATACACATGCATGTGGAGATTAGTGGTCAACCTTAGATGTTGTCCCTCAGGAGCTACCCACCTTGATTTTTGAGACAGGGTCTCTCAGTGGCCTGGACCTCACCAAGTAGACCGGGCTGGCTGGCCAGTGAGTCCCAGCAGCCTGCCTGTCTCCACCTCCCCAGTCCTGGTACTAAAGCACACACTACCAAATCCTGCTGCTGTGCGGGTTCTGGGGACTCAACTCAAATCCTCCTGCTCATGTGGCAAGGCCTCTACCAACTGAGCCATCTCCCCAGTCTCCCATTTAGTTAGTTTTAACTTTCATTTGTTAATATTGTGTGTGAGCGTATGGTGTATATGTAAGTGTGGGCATGTGCGTGCCATCATGTGCACGTGGAGGTCAGAGGACAACTCTCTTCTCTCTGCCAGCTACTGAGATGAAGAGACAAGGAACTTGGGCCATGGGGGATGTGGCATTGTCTGAATAGGTGCAGGACAAATGTGGGGCATGGAATAGGGTGCAGCTGTCAGAGCACAGAAACGCGGACCCAGCACCCGACCCTAACACAGGCCCTTGCTCTGCCTATGCCCACAGGATGTTCCCAGGGAGAACTGTCCTAGCTCCCTGCTGTGCTCTGGCACTCTCTGTTCATTCTCCTACCAGCCCATTGCTGATGGCCTTGATCCACTGTCTCCACAATATCTGGCAGATGGTGCCCTGCCTCCTGGAATCTTCTTCTCAGTTCCTCCACTGCCCAGCTGTCTGGGTTGCCACCTTGCTGAGCCTACTCTGTACCTTAGAGGCCAGGTGGACTCTCCTTTTTCTCTGGCATTTCAACTGTCATGGAGCCTGAGGCACACAGTGACATGGTGAATCATTTATGCATCCTATGATGCAATGTGACTTCATGCTCTCTGATGTCCCTTTGGATGTGACTGCTCCTGCCCAAGACTTGTTAGTCCTATGATACTGTTGTGGTTTACATGTGAAATATTCTCTACAGACTCAAAATGTTCTCTATAGACTCGTGTGCTCAAATCTCGATCCCTAGCAGTTAGCACTCCGGAAGGCTGTGCAATCTTTAAGGAGTAGATCTTCAAAGTAAGGCACTGGCTATGGGTCTTGAGGTTTTCCAGCCAGACCTGCTGTCTGCTTGTGACTAGATTCATGTGGCTGGCTTCTTCATCCTCACTTATGCCTCCTCTCCATGATGGACTTAAGC